ATAAATTTTAAGTTTCAAAATGTACCTGCTATAAAATTTGAAAATCTACGACTAATACAATTATTTACAACATCGCAGGAGCTTAGTTGTATACGCTAAAAACTATATACAGATCCCAAAAATGATTTATCCAGTTGTGGAGTCCACTGGATCCTACCTGTTGGTCGGAGTTTACATAAAGCGCTACTTAGATAAAAATATACATGGAGTATATTCTACTGGAGTTCGTATAAAACCGTTTTAGTACGGAGCCTAAATTAACCGCTAGAAGTATATATATATATATATATATATATATATATATATATATATATATATATATATATATATATATATATATATATATATATATATATTCGTTTTTCTGCAGAATTGTTTTCCACATATTTGGAATTTGGAAGTCTTTGGGCATCATCTGTGGTATTTAAATTTTTTGGATGTTTTTCTATCTCTATGGTTTCCCTGATTATACGTTTAGTCTTATTTTCGATGTTGGCTAGCATTGTTGTTCCATCGTAAGTCTATTTTGTGTCCTGTGTTTATGACACGTTGTGCTAGGGATGAAGTTTTCTCTTTTCTTTCGATGGCGTTTCGATGTTCTTCGCGTCTAACTTGTATTCTTCGATTTGTCTGCCCGATGTACGATTTATCATATATATATTATATATATATATATATATACAGTCCTCTCTCTCTATAACGATATTCAGGGGACCGGGAATTTTCATCGTTATAAGGAGAGATCGTTATACAGAAAGAGACAAAATTCGGTACTGGAATATTAATATTACTTTACTAAATAAACTACATATTTTAATTTAAAAAATTTGTCAAAACGAATATAGTTGAATTAACACTGTATTGTACACCACAGATTTATTAAAGAGTAATATAAGCAATACAGTATAAAAAAATGACTGTACAATTAATACATGTGTACTGTACAATAAAAAAATAAAATGCTACTGTAAAATATATTTAGCCTACCAAAAACTCTGTCACCTTGGTCTGTTTCCTTTTCCCTTTCCACAGAACTGACCTGACCCTGTCCTGAAGAGGCATATAATCCTCCACAGTACTCATATCGTCTTCCTAGTGAATGAAGAATCGATGCAATACTTTTAGTGTATCCAATTCCTACTGAGAGTTCGGAGCTGGTTCTGGCTCTGCTTTCACTTCCGGCAGGTCATTTTCATCATCGGCCATTCCTTGATCTACAGCCATCCTGCGTGTTTGAAGGAATGTTTTATTGTATTGCTCGTCACCTCCTCCCAGGATTTACTAATCATTAGGATTGCATCAAGAATGTTTAGTTTAAGATCGCCTTTGTTCTCAACCAATTCTATCAAAAGTCTTCTCCTGCAGTGACTTTTTAAACTCTTGATGATACTTTGATCCATCGGCTGAAGGACACTCGTTGTGTTTGCTGGCAGAAAACAAAGATCAATGTTTTAAAGGTCGCACAGCACAAGATGAGCAGGACAATTGTCTACCAGCAAAAGAATTTTTTTTTCTTAAAACTCGATATCCCAATTTCTTATTGCTTCTTCAAAAATTGCCAAAGTCATCCACGACTCTTGTTTGCTTTATAGGTCACCGGTAGATTTTTTATGTTTTTAAAGCAACGAGGGTTTTCATCTTCCCTATCACTAACAAATTTTTGCTTCACCGAACCTGTCGTGTTAGCGGAACCTAAAACTGTAATGCGTTTCTTAGAGAGCTTTCCACCAATGCACTTTTCCGATTTAAATTTTAAAGTTCTGGTTGGTCTCATTTTTAAAAAACAATCCAGTCTCATCAGCATTGAAAATGTTGTCTGACGCATATCGTGCCTTCAGTCCGGGCCACACGTTTTCTAGCCATTCATCCTTTATATTTTTGTTCATCGTGCGCGCTTCTCCGCTGATTTGCCCATAGTTGATCTTGTGCCGCAGCTTCCACTTGCTCAGCCAACCCTCAGATACCTTGAAATTCTCAATTCCAAGATCAGTTGCAAAAAAGCACAGCTTTTGTAATGACCACAGGCCAGAAAGTGGAATATGGTTCATACGCTGCTGCTGGAACCACTGTAGCATAGCGATCTTAATTTTCGTGCTGAGGTTTCCGCAACTTTTTCCGCCTTCTTTTTCTCCTTTCGAAAACAAAACAACCGCTGGACAATGACCTTACCACTCTTGACTCAGGTAGTCTGAACTTAAAACACAATAACACATTTGTCACATACTACTAAAACGCCAAAAAGTCATCGCTATAAAGAGAGAATGATATCGTTATAGAGAAAGAATTAATACGTTGTCCTTATGACGAACCAACCAACGTTCACTATTTTCATCGTTATAGAGAAATTATCGTTATATAGGGAATCGTTATAAAGAGAGACTACTGTATATATATATATATATATATATATATATATATATATATATATATATATATATATATATATATATTGTTATGATATGTAAAATCGAGAAAAATATTGGTTTGCTTAAAATATTTCAAAGTTCAAAAAATTAAAATAATTCAGATAAGTCGAATAATAAACTACAAACATTTCGAAGAATGAAAGTCCTTTATCTTTGGATTACCTATATTGAACAAAACGTAAGATATGCATAAATTATTTTCTTTGTTAAAATATATTTGAGTGACTTGAGGAGTTTAAGTGAAATCCTAGACAATGGAGGCGGATTTTCCAAATAAATTTGTGCAGTAATTAGGACAATAGAATAGATTTTAGAAAGATATGTTTTTGTTAGTTCATAAGAATTGGTAGAAAAAGATTAGTTTGTAAATAAGTTTTAGGAAATTTTATAATTGTAGGTAAAAATTTGTTTGTGTTATCAAAATGAAGAAATGGGAGATGTATGACGCGTTTTGATTGGATGAGATTAAAAAAGGTGGGATGGTTGGTTTGAGAATGAGACTTTAGTTAGTTTTGAAGAGAAAAAATATAGGCAGTTGGTTTCTGCAGCTGGAGAGGAGAAGAGGCTAGCATAATTTGAATGATTCGTGCATTTGAAGGAGATCATTAAAGACGATAAACTTGCAACAATTTGTTGTAAGATTGCTGATTACCTAGGGAGCTGTAAGAATAGATAGTATAGGCTACAAGGAACAAAGATTTGGACACTCATCATCAGAGATAGTTTTTTTTTTCTGTAGTTTTTCTTTTATTGATAACACAATTTTTACAATTACTTTAGAAAATATATAAATATTTTGATTAGGAGTTTTAGAATAATAATTGGGATTTTGAGATTTTAATTTATATTATTTGTACCATTAATTTTGAAGTTTCACGTACGTAGAACAAAATTTTGAGAATCATTATATGAGATATTGTTTATTGAAAACATTTGAGTGTGAATTTTACTTCATTATTTTTATTTCAATATATAGTGTTATATCATTTATGTTTTTTTTTATTATTCCGGTATTCTTTGGACCTTACTTTTCACATGTAAAGCATAGATATTGAATCACGAATATAACCTGAGATAAGAGAATTAAAAAGTGTGATAGAATCATAATCATATCATTTAAATAATTTTAATTAATTAATTAATTAATTAATTAATTAATTAGCTAATTAATTGCTTGGCGCTTGGCGCACTAAGACTTTGAATATCACAATAATATATATATATATATATATATATATATATATATATATATATATATATATATATATATATATATATATATATATATATATAAACTCATGTTAACTTTTTCAAATTTACCGCCCGTAAATTAGTGGGTTGGTACTATTAACCTTGCTGTTCTGTCGAATAAATTTCGACCTCAAGGCTGGCAGTCTGTTTCATGTCATTGACTCGGCACCTTTTAATTAACGCCATTTCAACTGCAACAGGTGCCAAGCATACAGTGGTAACTTCACTTTATATCTTTTTTTATATATATTTTTTATATCTTAATGTAAATAACTTAAATAATGCTACCAAAAGTTAAGATGAAGTCATAAAATAAAATTTTTTGCATAGTTGGAAGTGAATCAATGATTTTGTTAGTTCTTTTTCACTAGTTAATATTATATTAAATATTATATGCTTATTAGACCACGCGTTCTGTTGGTTTGCTAATTTTTACTAAGTCTCTAAATGTTGTTAGTTATTTAATTGTTTATACAATATCACCATATGATGTCCATTTATTTGAGTTTTTGTACTACCTTTTTAATACCATTGACAACTACATATCTTTTTTAAGGTAACTATTTAACATCTTCTTCATGAATGTGTGGTACTCATAATGTAAAAATTTTTAGATGAACTGATGATGCTATCAGAATTCGATAGCGAAACGTCTTCAAAATAGATGAAGTAGTATCAACAAGAAATTAATATATATATATATATATATATATATATAATATATATATATATATATATATATATATATATATATATATATTAATTTCTTTTTCTTTTAATAAAAGGGCCAGAAGAAATAACGACTCGTTTGATATAATATTTTTAACTAAACAATATTAACTATTCACTACTAAACGTATTAATTTCTGCTGGTGGAAATTATCGGCCACCAGTTGCCCATAATTTTTTGTGCGTTAATTTGGTGGCCCCACTAGTTGCGCCACCAGTTACCTAGTCTAATACCAGCCTTAATGGATTACTCCTATACGCCTGTTCAACTCATTATAAGAGTCAAGAATATAAACAGTGGATTATAGGCGTGGCCAGTTTTTTTAGACTAGGTTCCGATGCTGGAAAGTCGCTCCGTACTCCCCCCATATACTTTTTTTTAATTTGCAACAGTGGTATTTCTAACAAAAAACCAAAATTGTTTATAAAATGTAATTATATATTTATAGTAAAACATCAAATCCTTTCTAACGAATACGAAACTTTGTGTAGTTGTTGGCATCCGCTGTGTGCATATGCAGTGAATATTAGGCATCTACTTGTAATCGAACAAAAACTGTTTATGTGTCTTAAAAATTTGTAATTTATATTTAGGCTGTAATGACAATGGTTCCGGAGGCTTGGCAGAATGATCCCACCATGTCTGAAGACAAACGTGACTACTACCACTGGGCAGCTTGTACGATGGAACCGTGGGACGGCCCCGCTTTGATTTCCTTTACAGATGGAAGACTGATAGGTGCGATTTTGGATCGTAACGGGCTGCGGCCTTCGAGATTCTATATCACCAAAGACAATATGATGATTATGGCTAGTGAGGTAAGTGGTTTAAAATAAAAATAATTAAAAATGTAGTAAGGTAAGAAATTAGTAAAAAATTAAAGAACAGAATATTTTCTTTGAATCCGTGAAGTGTGAATTTTATATTATGTAAATTGACAAATATCTTCAGTGGGACCTTGTTTGATTTCATGTCCATAAACTTTTATATTTCATATTTTTAGGTCGGTGTATACGATGTAGATCCGTCGAATGTTATCTTAAAGAGTCGTCTAAAGCCAGGTAGGATGTTGTTAGTTGATACCCAATCAAAAACAGTTATTCAAGACATTACCCTAAAACAGGAAATCGCAAGATCCAGGCCACATTCAGAATGGTTAAAAGAACAGGTATGTTATAATTTAATATTTAAACAAAACATATTAAAATATATATAGTATAGCAAAATTTAACCAGTTACTTGAGTGTCCAAAAAATTCATGTACAATAATAATTAAAGTGGAAGATAATTTTTAAAAATCGTATAACTAGGTTGTCATGGATTTCTGGATAAAGTCATTTTATTTCGATTTTTCCACAACACTTACTGAGGTTTTGTAATTCATAAAATGGTTAGATTTTGCTTAGCTTGTAGGGAAGCCTAAATATTTCGATTTTATAAAATAGATAAAAATTTTGCACTTTTGATAAATATTTTTTTAATGGCCAAATATAATGTTTTATATGATAATTGATAATTTAATATTTATTTGTTAAGTACGAAGGTACATTTCAACTGAAGCTGTTGCTTAAGACAAATACAGAAAAGTATATGCTGCAACAAATATTTGTATAAAAATCATGCGTTTGGATATTTGGCCAATAATTGTTTTTGTATACAGTGCCGATTTAACACAGTCTGCCGCCCGGTGCTCATACGGATGCCGCGCCCAGGCTCAAAAATATTTCTTAAATTTATTTTAATTCAACAAAACATATTTTGAATAGAAGTTTATTAAAATAAGGAAAACAATTACAACTTTTTTTGGTTTCAAGCATAAATGAATACTAACAAAATAAATGAAAAAAATTAAGGCCGAACTTCAAAAAGTAAAATAAAAATGTACCTAATGGCATTCAAACAGGTAACATAAGGTAGGTAATCAAATATTTTTACTATTGAAAGATAGTAAAGAAAGCAAGAAAAGCTTGTTTTCTTGCTTTATTGAAGCGGAATTTTCGATAATATTTATATTTAATTCATTTAGCAGATCCTCGTTAATAACTGCTAAGGAGTTCAAATTTTCTTAGGAAATTGCATTTCTTAAGTAGACCTTTTATAATATCGAAAGAGAGCGTTCGCCACTTGCATTTGCAACCATTATGGAGAAAAAAATTCGCAGACAAATATTAATTTTTGAAAATGAAGATATCAATTTATTTTCGTATTAAACCTGTACCAAAGATTGTCTATTATAAAACTATAACATTGTGTTGACATTTTTTTTTTATTTTCTCCTAATTGCAATTTTTTTTGATAATCTTCTTCTCAGCATAATTTTCGTTACCTGTTAACAACATTCCTAAGGCCTCGCAGTGATCAAAACGATCACGTAAGAAATCAAAGTAATCTGCTAAAGATGATAATAGATGAGCGGTTGTGCTTAAATCCATATTTTCCTTTTGTACTGCTTTATTCATCTCATTCATTTTTTGTAAGACGTCAAGCCAGTATGACGTTTTGCCTTACCTAAATTTGCTCGTTTAATAATATGATCTTTTAAAAATGGATCATATTCTGACAATAGTTCCAGTAAACCTAAGTAGTTTCCATTCCGTTTTTCGCCAATTCTTTCATGAGTTCCTTTAAATGCCAATTCACTGGTAGCCAGAAACTTTATTACACTTATGACTCTTTCTAGTACTTTAAGGCTGTTTTATCGGTGCACCAAAACCTAGGGACAGTGTTTTCTCTGTTATTTACCAACAAAATGTCTCGAAATTTGGACACGTTATTCGAAATTATGTTGCCTTAATTTGTTGTTAATTTTCTTTTCATCTTTCTGTGTCCAGTAATAATTGAGAAAAGCGTGTTCCAACTTTGAAGAAAATTGCTAAAAAATACCAAAATCTAATAGTGAAACGTGTTAATCATCATTGGCGTTTATTTTTATCGTTATCGCCTTCGTGACGTCAAATCTCATGAACGTACGGTTAGTTAGTTCGTGTTAAAACTAATTTGAATGGAGAATAATGCATTTGTTGTCATTAAACTACCCGTCGGCCGGCGCCACTGATTAAAGATAATCTGGCGTAAGCAGTGTAGAAAAGTAAGTGATACGCCCATTTCAAATCACAGTGTGCTTCAACTGCTAAAACAGCCTTAACCTTCTTCTGCAGTGCTTATTTCCTTTTAGAATTCTACATCAACTCTTCCTTGCTTTAATAAGTGAGTCGTATAAATTTTCAGATTATCTATATGATCATTGGATCTTTCATGTTCATCAAATCTTTCCTTACTTTTATTCCAAAATGAAAATCCTGTTTTAAATTGGTTCTTTTTTTTTAAATAAGACACAATAAGAACAAAATATATCGCCAATGTTCTCGGAGTAAATTGCCCAATCGCGGCGAATTACTTCTCCATTAACAGTTTTTTATAAAATGTTTGCTGACTGGCATACCTGTTTTGTTCGCCGAAATTTCTTTTTGGCCGAATTTTCTGTTCGACCTATTTTTCTAGAATCATTTCTGCATAATTATGGTAATTTTGCCAAAGTGCTAGATCTTTAAAATTAAGTAAATCCTGTTTTGGGTCCAAAAAGAAATAAAAAAAAATATTTGTCATTGTCCTGTTTTAGGTACCATTTGTAAAAGCACCGTTATCTTTCCGTAATTGAAATATGCCTTACCCGAGTAACTGGTTGTTGCTTCTTTCACCAACCAGGTGATACTAAGTGCTCTGACACTGATTCTGAAGTCTCCAAAATAGGTTCATGTGGTGGAATATGAATATATTGATTAGGTACTAGTAACACTAGAACTAGGACCGAGTTGAGAAATATTTGTAATGCCATCTTCTTGATTTCCATCCGTTGTAAAAAATGCTGTTTTTAGATACCTTTCAAAATTTTATTTTGCCTTTCTTGTTTCCCTTTACGCCAGAAAGATCCAGGTTGTTTCCGCCCTTATACATTGGGCATATTTGAACGTTATCTGACATTTAGATAACGTAAACTGCATACTGTGCATAAAACATACACAAACACAAAACATTTATTATTATTATATCAAGAGAATTTTTATGCAAATTTTATTTTACCATAACCATATTATTTTGATAACAGCACGCGCTTCGCGCGCACCGTCCGGGAACCTTCAATCGCCCGGTGCTACAGCCCAAAAAGACCCCTGGTTAAACCGGCGCTGTTTGTATATCTTCATACAGCTTTTTTAGTTGATTAATAATCAACTAGTCAGTTTCAAAAGTGTAAAAATATTTTCAATCTTAATTTTTAGCCCTTTTAATATTTCATATTAATTGATTAAAATATTTTATTAAAATTATGATTTCCTTTATTTTCATGGTATTTCGATGAACAAAAGATGGTGAGTGAAAAAAGTTCGATGTGCTCTGTAGATTTATTAAAAAAATATTTTTAGTTTTTTTTACATTACTAATACTTTTTTATAACAGTTTTAAAACCGAGTACTTTTTTACTAGAATTCATATTAAATAAGTCAAAAGTGCAAATAGGATAAAAAAAAAATAAGGGAAGATTGATAATAGGCATGCTAGAAAGTGAAGATTGGATTAAAATGAGGGATACCTAGAGTTGAATGGATTATTGTTGGTAACGGCATAAGTACATTTGACTTAAATATTATGTTTATATGGTATTAAGCTACAATTATTGGCTGTAATGAAAATCACATTTTTAACTAACTATGTAGTATTTGACGTTTCTACATGCACTCCGGGAATCGTTCTTAAAAAGATTATTATTAAAAATTTGTGAAAATGACATAACCAAAGTTATTTGTTTTAGGTTATGTCATTTCAAAATTGACATGATTGGCCTAAATCTTGTAAACAGCTGCATGTAAATAACTGAAAAACAATCTGAGTGTGATGTTTTTACCATAGGAATATCAGATTCTGATTGTTTTGTGTGTTTTTTGCGTTGTATATTTGTGTAAACTGTATCGTGATTGTGATTATGTAACCTAAAATTGTAGCGAAATTTAATTGTGGAGTGAGCTCCTTAATCGAATCTCCGAGAGGAGCAGTTACAAGTATAACAAAAAGATTAAAATGCAAAGAAGATATCTGAATAGGCACATGGAACGTGGCACATGGAACCATAGCACAGGAAGGTAAAATCCACAATGCAATACAAGAAATGACACACATGAAACTAAATATTCTGGGAATAAGCGAAATGCGTTGGCCAGGTTCAGGAACCGCAAATATCGGGGAACACCGCGTTTACTATTCTGGAACAGATAACGACAAACATGAATTGGGTGTCGGCATTATATTGACAAAAGAAGTGGCAAAATCTGTTGACAACTTTATCCCAATCTCAGCAAGAGTGATGCTCATACAACTAAAAGCCAGACCAATCGACATCAATCTAATTAAAGTGTATGCACCTACAACAGAAGGAACAGAAGAAGAGATAGAAGAACTATACCATAGCATTAATCAAGTTCTGAAAAGGTTGAAAAAGGCCGAACAATAATTGTCATGGGTGAATTCAAGGCCAAAGTTGGGGCCAGCAAAACATCATCTGCAGTTGGACCATTTGGTCTAGAAAACCGCAACGATCGGAGAGATACGTTGGAGATTTTTGCGGAAGCAAATGAATTGGTAATAATGAACACCTGGTTTAAGTTACACCCAAGGAAACTCTACACCTGTAAATCTCCACAGGACGCTGTGGAAAAGATTGTAAGAAATCAGATTGATTACATGCTAGTAAATAAGAGATATTGGAACAGCTGTACATATGTCAAAACATACCCGGGGCAGACATAAATTCCGATCATGTACCAGTTGTAGGTAATTTCAAAGTCAGAATAAAGCAGGTTACAAGTAAGTCGATGAAAAAATATGGTTAAAAAACTGAAAGATCCCTATGTTCGACTGAAGGTGAGTGAAAACATCAATACAAAGGTTTTAAAATGCAAAAATGCAGGAACAATAGAGGAAAGTCTGACCATCATACAAGAAACAGTGAGAGAGATCAAAGAACAACACCTGAAGACATATACAGAGAAACGGAAATCGTGGATGACCGATGAAATACTTGAACTCATGGATCAGAGAAAAAAAAAACAAAGAAAAAAAACAAATATAAGAGAATACATACCATCATCAAAAGGAAAATAAGAGAAGCCAAAAAAAAAAACAAAAACAGAACAATGTCAGGAAATAGAGGAGTATCAGAGACGATATGATAACTTCAATGTTCATGGAAAGGTGAAGGAAATAGCTGGAAAGTTCCGAAAACGCAACAGCGGAAAAATAATAGATGATGAAGGCAATCTTGCCATAACCAGGGAAGATAAAAAGAAAGTATTGGAAGAATACTTGGAGAAGCTTTTCCATGATCTTAGAACGATACAAGAGCCCACCATTGAAGAAAAGTCAGCTCCCGAAATCCTACCAGAAGAAATAACGGCAGCCGTCAGACAAATGAAGGATGGAAAGGCACCGGGACTTGATGAAATTCCTGTAGAACTGTTAAAGCTATTAGAAGAACAACAAATAAAAATAATAACTGAAATATTTAATGAAATATACAATGTAGGAAAAATACCAGTAAAGTGGCTGAAATCGGAGTTCGTACCATTGCCCAAAAAACCAGGAGCAAAAGTTTGTGAAGATTATAGGACCATAAGCCTAATGAGTCATCTGCTGAAGCTGTTGTTAAAGGTCACCCACAAAAGAATTTACCGGAAATGCGAGGAACAAATTGCGCCCAATCAGTTTGGATTTGTGAACGCCCTTGGTACGAGGGAAGCTTTATTTAGCGTGCAGATATTGTTTCAGAAATGTAGAGATGTCAGCTGTAATGTTTTTGCATGCCTGATTGATTACAAGAAGACTTTCGATAGAGTCAGACATGAACAAATGATAGAAGTGCTGAAGAGGACCGGAATTGACGAAAAAGACTTAAAAATAATAGCTAACCTGTATTGGAATCAATCACCGGTACTCCGAATAGATGGAGAATATACAGATCAGGTTAAAATCTTGGGGGAGTGAGACAGGGGTGCATAATTTCACCACTGATATTTAATCTGTACTCGGAGCACATTTTTGAAGAGGATCTAAAAGATATTGATGAAGGTATCTCAATAAATGGAGTCAAGCTCAATAACCTGCGGTATGCAGATCATACATTAGTGTGTTCCAATACCATAGAAGGGCTGCAAAACTTAATGAACACAATAACGGAAACAAGTAGAAAATATGGACTGGATATAAACACCAGCAAAACCAAGCTAATAATCATCAGCAAGGAAAACATAACTGGAGCAAATCTGTATGTGAACCAAATGAGAATTGAACGAGTCTCACAATACAATTACTTGGGAACTATAATCAATGAGTCGTGGGACAATACCCAAGAGATTAAATGTCGCATCAGAAAGGCAAAGAGTGCATTCTTGACTATGAGTTCTGTGTTCAAGAGCCATGACCTTACCCTAGAAACAAAAATAAGGCTCCTTAAATGTTATGTGTACTCAGTGCTTCTGTACGGAGTAGAAACGTGGACATTAAAGGCGGAAACTCTATCAAAACTTCAGGCTTTTGAGCTATGGTCATACAGAAGGATCCTGAAGATACCATGGACAGAGAAAGTCACCAATGAAGAAATACTGCGGATTTGGTCAACATCGTGAAGGGCCGTAAGCTGCAGTACTTGGGCCATATAATGAAAAAACAAGGCAGATACGAGCTACTTCAATGTATTTTACAAGGTAAAATTAAAGGAAAAAGTGCCACAGGATGAGGAAGAATATCCTGGCTTGCTAACCTGAGTGCATGGTATAGAAAGACTTCAACACAGCTATTTCGTATAGCAACCAACAAAGTTATCATATCCAGAATGATCGCCAACGTTCGGAACGGATAGGCACTCTAAAAAGAAGAACCTAAAATTGTGAAAATGTAGATTTGTGTATTGAGTTGCATATGTTTTGTGTGTAAGATTTTAGTTGCTGTTTTTCGACCTCCTGGTATTCCGCTATGGTTGGTATCTTGTCGATATCTTCTTTTAGTATTGCCAACCAAATCCTACTACATTCTGTTGATCGGTTCGCTACATATGATTGTTTTCTGTGTTTTTTGGGTTATATGTTTGTGTAATCTTTATCGTAATTGTGATTATGTAACGTACAATTTTGGAAACGTAGATTTGTGTTTTGTGTATTGTGTTGCATATGTATTGTGTAGAATATTGAAGTTAGTAGTTTTTCGACTTCCTGGTATTCCGCTATTGTTGGTATATTCTTGTTCACTTTCTTCGTTGTAACGATATAATTTGCCTACCACATTGGATATCACTTATAGGGGGTAGAAAGTGGGGACAGTAATTATTGGCCTGGAGATAGGGTAAACAAACAAATCGAAACCTTTGCGAACAGCCACGCTTGATTTGGTTGGAGAACTGGGTCGTAATTAAGTGAATAAAGAAGAGACTGGGAGGGGTAACTACAAAGAAAGAAATCAAGAAAATACTTACATAGATTTGCTGGGCAACAAAACACAAGAAGTTTTCTAAACTATTTGAAAAGGACGCCGTTTAAAAGAATCCTCTTGCTGGATAGAAAGAAAGGCGTTTCTTTCCTAAAAAAATATTAAACGGTGAAAATCTTTTTAAACCAAATAAATCTACAACTCCTGGTTTAGAGAGAAACATTACATATTTATTATTACTTCACATCAACACAACACAGTTATTACAAATAATATTAACAACATTTATCAACAAACCTTACATTGGTAACTACATATTTACAACACAGGAATTTAAATTATTATTAAAATGAAAATATCTAGATTTTTCAACGGAGCTTACATTGAGGTTGACCTGTAAACAAAAGATTTAAAATTTATGGTTAAATACCAACTGTCAGAAAAATGATAATACTGACTGTCATATGTCGAAATGAAATATCAAACCTTAAACTATATTTATTATTATTTATTATAAACCCTAAAACTTTATTTATATAATTTCATTTATTTAAAATTTTTTAATTTGTCATGAAAGCAAGTTTTTTATTAATGAAAAATTGTTTATTAATGATATTATGAAATGTAAACAGTTCCTGGTATTACTGGCTAATGTAATTCCTTTAAGAAAGTTTTTGGGATCGGAATTGAACCAAAACACTGCAAACAACACACAACTGTGTCCCACACAAGCTGGAATTGGTCTGGAGTGACCATGGAACACAATTTAGACAATTATTGGGAAGTTGGACACTGGGTCGGGCGTCGGATTATCCTGGATGACAACAAACTGCAATCTTCAAAACTCGGCCACTCAATTTCTTCTTTAAACCATTTGGACCTCTCAAATAGTTGGACTACAATGCTACATCGTTAACCCATTAACGCCAAAATGATTTTTTATTCAAATTTTAAAATTTTACGTATACATAATTATCAATAATCTTGTTCTTAATAAGAAAATATTCATGAATTAATGTCATCTTTCCATTGTGGTCTATTTTCGTTGTGCCAGTCATGTTTGCATATCTGGGAAAACGAACACAGACCACAATGGAAACGATAATCAATAATAATGAAAGGCACATACATAAAAAGTGGAAAAGTCAGAGAAACAGCTCTCATCCTACGTAACGAAGAAAAATGTGTAGCAAGCCATCAGCAGAATGTAGCAGGCTTTGGTTGCCAATACTAAACGAAGAAATCAACAACAAGAATATACCAATAGCGGCCTAAAAGGAGGTCGAAAAACATTAACAATGCATAATACATATGAAACATCTATGTTTTCACAATTTTACGTTACATAATCACAATTGCGGTACAGTTTATACAAACGTCTAACACAAAAAACACAACAATCAGAATTTGATATTCCTATGGTAAAAACACCACCCTCAGATTCTTTTCAGCCATATACATGCTGCTGTCTACAAGATGAGGCCAAATGACATCTAAAACAAATAATTTTGGTTATGCATTTTCGCAGATTTTAACTAATAATATTTTTGGAAACGATTTTTGGAGTGAAAGTCAAAACGTTAAATACCGGTTAATTAGAAATGTGATTTTTATTACAACCAATAATTGTGGCTTAACCCCATATAAACATAGTATTAGACATGTCACAAGAAAGTAGTTTCAGAACCTTGCTACCTTTGACTTGTTTAATATGTTTTTGTAAGAGTGAGCATATAGTATTCGACGACAATTTAAACAAATAATGTATTTTTTAAGATATTTGGGGAAAAGTAGTAGCTTGTGTCATTTATTTAGATATTCCACAGAAGGGAATATCCATTCTTAAAAATAATTCAAACATGCTAGTATTAAATGTTTACTAAACTGTTTTATTATCTTTTGAATTTCTCCTTCTAACCATAATAAATAATGAAGATAAGTGACTTCAAAAAATCCCTTTAAATATTTTTTATTCTAAGATTTCCATGGACGAACTTAGAAAGGCTCATCTAGATGCTAAGCGAACAGTTAAACCAAAGTACGAGACCAGCGGATTGGGCGACAAAAGGTTGCCACTGTATGGGTACTCGACGGAAACCATTTACATGCTTTTGTTACCAATGATTAATAACAAGTAAGTGTTTTGTAGTTCCATTAAATTATGTAGTTACCGTATATTTCTCGTGTCCTTAGCGTATTTGTGTTTGTATGGACCAAACAAACTACTTTCGTACTGCAATATCTTCCATATATTAAGTGCTTTTTTAAACTGTCTTCCTTAAAATGTGCTACATTTTCATATTCTATATTGACATATATTTTTATATTGAAAAAGACGTACTATTACCATAAGTAATGTACGAAAGCTGAGAAATGCATCAGTTGGTGACCGGTAATTGGAAACATCAGAATAGACTAACTGATCAAGATATGCACGAAGAAGGCCAAAATGAAAAAATCACATAGCGAACCGCAATAAAAGAACTTATAAAGATTTAAAACTTGGAAGAATTATATAAAGATTGCGGTCAAAATACAATAATAGTGTTACTATAACTAATAAAAGAAATATTGAGACATAAATCGCACCTTGTGTGTTTAGTATTAGAATAGCACAATACACAAGAAATGTAATATCTTAGAAAGCACTTAACTATAGAAGATTTACTATTCTACATACAGTATATAAAATATTCTGAAATATACTATGCCACCGTATGGAACTATGCTCAAAAAAAAGTAATTGAAAAATACTAGGTAAATTTTATAAAAAAAACTCTGGACTATGGCATACTCACCACATATTTATCGACTACAAGGCAGCCTTCGACTCGTTAAACAAACGAGGGATGTTTAGAGCTAAGAGAAATCTATGAATACCAAATCGGTTGTTAATGTCTATAAAAATATCCTTTTAAAAAAGAGAGTGCAAGTTACGTCTATTTTTTACATTTCCCCGGATAGACTTCACACATTTAAAAATCATTTATTAACACGTACATTAAAAGAATTACAATAGATTGATATTGGTCGGCATCGTCAACCTTCTTCAAAAGTTGTAAAAATAATAATCTTCATCGTGAATGGATGGTACCAAATTTATATACACCAGGCCTACTTATTAAATCAATGTGAATAGTGTTGCATATTATATAAAGATTGCGGCCACTATATATATATATATATATATATATATATATATATATATATATATATATATATTATATTGGTCTGGAATTGAAACAATTCTGTTTTTTTAGTCACTTAATATTTCGCCAATTGATTACTGGCTCCATCAGAAGTGCTCTACAGATTTAAAACAAAGAGATAAGCAACATTACGATAAAATTACATAAGTATGTACTTACAGAGGTAGAACTGTTCACAAAAAAGAGACATGAATAACATTAGTTTGACACTTTGACAATTAGACTGACAATTTTCAAAATAAGTTAATATACACATAAAACAACAAAAAGTGTATAGTGGATTAGACGATTTTTCTGAAATGTTTATATATAAAAAATAAGGTAGCAGGTATATCGTAAATTAATATTGATTTAAATATATATATATATATATATATATATATATATATATATATATATATATATGACAGAACGAAAAAGTAAATCAAATTTAATGTCATTATGTTAATTAATTTTGCTAATTTTAAAACACAATCCTCACAAGGGTAAGCCTATTGAAGATATAATAACTTCATTTTTCTAATGTAATTTTTTATGTTAATTTTTAGTACGTTTTGAAAAAGAGAGAGACAATAAACTCGAAAGCTTAACAAACCTAAAACAGTTTTACTTAAAGGCCAATATTGACTACTAAACCCAAGATATCTTTGAACGTATAAAATTCACTTTCCAAAACAAAACACTTTCTACAACTAATGCTAAACAGTATCATATACAGGGTGTTTGCGATTTCTGTTGGTCGGTGATTTGATTTTTTTCTTAATAATTTCTATTTGATTTTTGAAATTTATGGAACCTTATTAATATATATATATATATATATATATATATATATATATATATATATATATATATAAATATATATATATATATATAAATATATATATATATATATATATATATATATATATATATATATATATATATATATCTATATATATATATTAATTCTCTTCTCTCCAATATCAAATGAAAAATTTGTCGACGTTATTTTCGTCATCCAGACTCTTTCATTGCCATTTTCTTTTGATCGTTTATTACCAAATTCACTTATTCTTATTTTCAACCTTTTACATCCCTTACTGATTCATACCTAATTACATAAACCCTCTCTTATAGACAATGTATATTTTCCCTCCTTAACTAATTGTCATTCTAAACTCCCGATTCCAACCTATCTTCACCACATATTGGTTTTGTAGACATTTCTACTTAACAATCTATTTGCTTCAGTGTTCTCTGCGTTGTTAGGTTTGCGTTTCTGTGTATTGCGCCTGCTCGTCTCATTCTCCCACAGAAAGTTGGATCAACTCAGAACTAATAAATCCACACATTCTATTGCAATGAAAATGCCGGCAATTTGACTTTCGTTTTTCGAGTCCGAATCCGTTAGATGGAAATGCGCCCTAAAGTGAAGTTCAAAATTTGTTTGTTATAACAATTCAGCTCTGTGCCAGTGCGTTTTAGTCACTTTGTTATTTTATTTCTACATTTGACTGTTGTAAGTTAGTTTTTTACGTGTAATGTTGACGAGTTTTTTAGTAAGCTTGGTAGTAGTTTTTTATTCTGTCATTCATTTGTAAATCAAACTTTTTCGCTTTGAAAAACACGAATGCTACTACACAGAAACTTTCAAGCTACAATGTTACCAAAAATTTAATGTTTTGACCACAGTTAACAAAGGGAATGGTGTGTTTGTTTAACACCTTTTATTCTTCACTCTACATTCGTAAGTTAATTTTCCATGTTTTTGTATAATATTACCTACCATCATTGTAATATTTTTTAGATTTGAACTGATGAAGATTGTGAATACCACAAGCGAAACGTCTTCAAATATAAGAATGGAACTGTGATTTCCTTGTATTATTTCTCCTTTGACCGATATCCTCGTTAATCAAAAGAATATATATATATAATATATATATATATATATATATATATATATATATATATATATATATAACCGTCAATTAATATAAATAAATTATTCAACTAGTGAATTCAGAGGTTAATCGGTCATTAAGGTTGGCAAATAAAAAACAGAAGTCAACTACTTCATAAGTTTATAGAAAACGTTTCGCTTTATACTTCTAAAGCTTCATCAGTTCTCTAAAATACAAAGATGACATAAAGTTTATAAGAAATACAGATTTAATAATTTATTACTTACAACTCAATATGTAGTATTAAAGATGTTAATAAATATGTACTTAAGTTTACTCATTAATATAGAACTAACTTAAAAAAAAAACAGAAACAAATAACACAAAAACTTTGCAAAAAATAATCTCATTCGCAGAAACGAAGATTTAACAAAATTTTAAAACGTACATTTGGCTTCATTTAGAGATCGTTCTCCAATGAAGACAAACAAACACTGATTTATTGCAATCTCTGCAAACGACGTGACGCGGTACCGAAAATTTTAAGGGCCATATGTGCAACTAATTCCAAGGTTTGAGACAATTATGAACTTCTACGGGGGTCATTGAAGGATTACTTGGACGGGTGGATTTGTATGACGGAAAAATTTGATATGATTTTTTTTGGTAATTTATGTTTTAATGAAACTTGGAGATCTGGGACGATTGTGTAAATTTTGAACGGAAAATAAGGCTATTTTTAATGATGAATAATGGTGCGTTTTTGATGGTTATTTTGTTTCGCCAGTATTTTAGTGTTTGAGAAGTCAATGTGATGTTTGGTGGAAATGGCGTGTTGTGCAAGGGCACAAGAGGGTTTGGAAAGTCTAATGTCGCTTTTATGTGAAGTTATACGCCCTAGAAGTGACCGACTGGTCTGGCCAATGTAGCAGGAATTGCATCCAGAACAGGGAATCTGATAGACAACATTAGTGTGCTCTAACGAGCTTAGCGGAGTTTTGGACTTGGAGAATAACTTTCCAATGGTTTTAGTGTTTTTTAAGGATATTTTGACGGGTAAGTTTTTGAATAGTTTAGTAAGCTTGTTCGTAATTTGTGGGAAATAGGGAAGAGAAGCATATTTTGTGACTGGTTTTGGTGTTAACAGGGAATTGTCCGTCTGTATGTTGTTGGATATGGAGGCTAATATTGCACCGTTGGTTGCTTCAGAAATAGAATGACCATAGCTTTTAGAGAAAAGATATCTGTTGATGATGGATATGGGGTAAGAGTTATCAATGAGAATGGATTTGAGTTAATCCAAAGATTCCCTCTTGTACCGCGTATGGGTCAACGTATGTACTCTAAAGCTAAGAGCTTGTACAAGGTTATGTTTATATCTCTACAAGGGTGTGTAGAGTGGTAATTTAGGAACCGGTTACTAGCCATTTCTTTCCCGTACCATGTAGTGCCCAATGTGTTGCTATGCGTGCGTATGATTCGCATGTCCAAAAACGGTATGCTGTTATCAACCTCCAATTCACATGTAAATTGAATCAATCACATTTTGGATCAATACGAAACTTCTCTTCTCAAAAAATATACCTTCGTTCTAAACAATTCTTTATCTCATCTCCAAACAAAATTAAATAATCTAGGGTCCACTCCTTTCAGTCGCCTACCATTTCATGATAAATGGATTAAAAATCTCACAAACATCCAAATCCCTAGAAATGTCTCAAAACTTATATCTCTCGGACCTAAGTTCGGATTACAACCCTCGCTTAACGATTATTCCATAGGCAATTTCGTAGCTGACATAGAAAACATACTTTCACATTCGGAAGCCAATGAACTCCTCGAATTAAGATCATCTGCTAATAATATTCTCACCAACTTTTCACATAAACCTCCCTATGCCAGATCAGATATAGATGATGTCTATAAGCAAACGTCCACATTCCTTAAAGAACACCCTGACCTGATGGTATTAACCAGTGACAAAGGCAATGCAACAGTACTAATGATGAGAGAGCAGTACTTAAACCTAAGCCAACAAC